AAACACTAGAGCTAAAAAACTAAAACTAGAATCAGAACCAAAACCAGAATTGAAACTAAATCTAGAATTACAAAAATAAAACAAAAAACAAAAAAATGTAAACTAGGACCAGAACTAAAATTAAAACGAGAATTAAAACGAGAACTAAAAAACTGAAACTAAAAAGTTAAAATGTAAAACTAAAACTAGAACTAAAACCAAAAAAGTAAAAGGAGAATATTTTGTTTTAGAAAAAGTGTCTTTTCTCTCCACAGCTCGTCTCGTCTCCTTCACTTCGTCACACACAGAGTTCGTGTACAGACGTGTTTCTGTGACGTCTCCAGAGTCCAGCTCCAGTCAGACGAGGCTCACTGAGGCCAGCGCTCACAGGAGCCACCACACAAACTGAACTGGAGCCAGAGCCCATGGAGCCCAAACACGACCGTGAACACTTCCTGTTCTCAACAGAACATCATCTTTGACAGAAGGTTTGTTTTTATCTGACGTGGACGTAAAAATGCAAAGAACTGAAAACCATTTAAATCACTTGAACATCTTGTGGTGCAGTGTGGAACTTTTCTGGTTGTGGGTCCATCACCTGTTTGTTTCCACGGAGACGTCACTGTTCTGTCTGGAATGTTCCACAGTGTGACTTTAAACAGCTCCACTTTACATTTATTCAAACACAGGTGGTTTTATAAATCAGAAATACGTCGAAAAACAGACTTTCTGATGGTCTTGGTCTGGTTTGGTCTCCATGGAGATAGAAAGGTTTAATGCCGCACTGTGGAACATTCCAGACACAAACATAACAGTGTCTGACGGAGGCTCCGGCAGAAAAGTGACACGGTGCAGCTTTATGGTCCCTGTCGGGGTCAGACTCACATTGAGATGTTCTCGGGCGAAGTCCAGGCCGATGTCTCCCAGAGCTTTCTTCACGTTCCTCCGAGCTTTCCTCAGGCTGCCCAGGTTATTCACCGGCAGCTGGAACATCTTCAGTCCTGAACGACGAGAGAGAGAGAACACGGGTTAAAGACCAGGAGGAACTTCACACGCTCCAAACAAACCCCTGCCAAACACCTGCCAAACACCTGCCTAAAGCCCACCAAACAAACTCCAATCAAAGTCCCACCGTTCTCTCGAAGACAAGAGACAAGAACCAAACTGAACATCCTGAGGCCTCCAGACCAAACCCAGAAGATACACACATATATTTAACACGTGAAGGACGAGGAACTTTCAACACGTCTCCAAACTCAAACTGACAGTCTCAGATTTAAACTGATTTAAACTGTTCTACAAGTGTCTCCAGATCATGTGAACCTCCAGAACCTCCAGAACCTCCAGCCTCTCTGAGCCGCGGAGGCTGCACTAGCCCTGACTCCTGACTGGTGCAGGCGCTGGGTCATGTGACGTTCACTCTGTGTTCTGATTGGACCAAACCCCAAATCAGAACAAATAAATAAACAAATAAATAAACAACTGTGACGTCGTGTCCAGAGTTTGTGTTGTTGTTGTGTTTTCAGTGAAAACTGAGGTCACACAGAGGTCACACAGAGGTCACACAGAGGTCACACAGAGGTCACACAGAGGGTTAGGGTCTCTGGGTCAGGGTGGTTTGTTCAGTAGTTTTTGTAAATTATGATTTAAATGTGACTTTATTATTTATTTATTATTATTATTGTGTTTTTGTTTCCTCGGGTTGAATCAGACAAAATAAAAAATCAATAAAACCACAAGAGCTCAGGTCACCAAAGACCTGGTGTCCTGCTCAACGGCACAACAACAGAACACAACACCAGGATCCTGACAGAACCGACAACCCAGACATCGTATACACAGTCCAGTCCAGAGTCCAGAGTCCAGAGTCCAGACCCGAGTCCAGAGTCCAGAGTCCAGACCCGAGTCCAGAGTCCAGACCCCCAGAGTCCAGACCCAGACCCGACAACCCAGACATCGTATACACAGTCCAGACCAGAGTCCAGAGTCCAGAGTCCAGACCCGAGTCCAGAGTCCAGAGAGTCCAGACCCAGACCCGACAACCCAGACATCGTAGAGTCCAGACCAGAGTCCAGACCAGAGTCCAGACCCAGACCCGAGTCAGACCCAGACCAGTCCAGAGTCCAGACCAGAGTCCAGAGTCCAGAGTCCAGACCCGAGTCCAGACCCGAGTCCAGACCCGAGTCCAGACCCAGAGTCCAGACCCAGAGTCCAGACCCAGAGTCCAGACCCAGAGTCCAGACCCGAGAGTCCAGACATCGTATACACAGTCCAGTCCAGAGTCCAGAGTCCAGAGTCCAGACCCGAGTCCAGACCCGAGTCCAGAGTCCAGACCCCAGAGTCCAGAGTCCAGACCCGAGTCCAGACCCGAGTCCAGAGTCCAGACCCCAGACCCCAGAGTCCAGAGTCCAGACCCGAGTCCAGACTCCAGACTCCAGAGTCCAGAGTCCAGACCCCAGAGTCCAGACTCCAGACTCCAGACCCGAGTCCAGACCCGAGTCCAGACCCGAGTCCAGACCCGAGTCCAGACCCGAGTCCAGACCCCAGAGTCCAGGTTCTGTCCTTGGTCTTGGTTTTGGTTTTGGTGTTGGGGTCACAGGTCACAGGTCGGGTGAAGGGGCAGTTGTGGGTCGGTGAGGTCAGAGGTCGGAGTGTGTGTGTGTGTGTGTGTGTGGGGGGGGGGGTTGTACTTCCTGTGGTGGTTACATAAACCTCCTGAACACACAACACACACACACACACACACACACACACACACACACACACACACACACACACACACACACACACACACACACACACACACACACACACACACACACACACACACACACACACACACACACACACACACACACACACACACACACACAACACACACACACACACACACACACACACACACACAACACACACACACACACACACACACACACACACACACACACACACACACACACACACACACACACACACACACACACACACACACACACACACACACACACACACACACACACAACACACACAACACACACACACACACACACACAACACACACACACACACACACACACACACACACACACACACACACACACACACACACACACACAACACACACAACACACACACACACACACACACACACACACACACACACACACACACACACACACACACACACACACACACACACACACACAACACACACACACACACACACACACACACACACACACACACAACACACACACACACACACACACAACACACACACACACAACACACACAACACACACACACCACACACAACAGAACAGAGAACAGCGCCTCCTACTGACACCAACACAACTACACACACTGATGAACAGAAGACACGAAGACAGAGACACAGAAGAGGAAGAGACGAAGAGAAAAGAGACGAAGAGAGAGAAGGAGAGAGACGAAGAGAGAAGAGAGGAGAAGAGGAGACGAAGAGGAGACGAAGGAGACGAAGAGGAGACGAAGAGGAGAGAGCGAGGGAGTTGAGAGGAAAAGGAGAAGGAGAGGAGGAGGGGAGGATGTGAGGAGAGGAGAGAGGACACACGTACACACAGAGGAAGCAAGAACGAGAGAGAGAGAGAGGAGGAAGAGGAGGAGGAGGAGGAGTGGGTGAAGAAAAGCGCACACACAGAAGAGGAAGAGAGTGAGAGAGGGAGGGAGGGGGGGAGAGGAGAGAAGCACACAGGGAAAAAAAAAAAGAGACACGAGGAGACGAGGAGGAGGAGGAGGAGGAGGAGGAGGGGAACATACGCAGAGAGAAGAGGAAGGGAGAGAAAGAGAGAGAGGAGGAGGAGGAGGGGAGAGAAAGAGAAGCCACACACACAGAGAAGAGAGAGAGAGGGAGGGAGGGAGGGAGGGAAGAAAAGAAGACCAGAGAGAGAGAGAGAGAGAGAGAGAGAGAAGGGAGGGGGGGGAGAGGTGCACAAAGAGAAAGAGGAGAGGAGGGGGGGGTGAGACGGACAAAGAGAGAGAGAGAGACAGGGGAGGGAGGGAGGGAGGGAGGGAGGGGGAGGAGTGGAGAGGCGGACACAAAGAGCGAGGGGAGAGAGGGAGGGGAGGGGGGGCGGAGGGAGCGAGGGGGGGGGGGGGGGGGCGGAGAGAGGAACACAAAGAGAGAGAGGGAGGGAGGGAGGAAGAGGAAGGGGAGGGAAGAGCGAGAGGACACGGGGGGAGGGGACGAGAGACGGAACAGAGGAGGGAGGGGGGGAACGGAGAGAGAGAAAAAACAGGGCAGAGGAGGGAGGGAGCGAGGGAGGGAGGGAGGAAAGAGACGAGGGAGAAGAGGAAAGCAGAGGGAGGGAGGAGACGGAGGAGGGGAGGAGGAGTGGGGGGTTGATAAAGCGGAGGGAGGGAGCGAGGGAGGAGGGAGCGAGGGAGCGAGGGAGCGAGGGAGGAGGGAGCGAGGGAGGAGGGAGGAGCGCTTCAGACCGGATCAGAACACGGGGGAGGGGAGGGGGAGACGGGTGAGGAACGAGGGAGGAGGGAGGGAGGAAAGGAGATAGGAGCCACTCTGCCTCCTTCTGCACCAGAAAAACAGGCCTGAAACCTGCACTGAACCAGGACTAAACCAGGTCTAAACCAGGTCTAAACCAGGTCTAAACCAGGTCTAAACCAGGTCTAAACCAGGTCTAAACCAGGTCTAAACCAGGACTAAACCAGGACTAAACCAGGTCTAAACCAGGTCTAAACCAGGTAAACCAGGTCTAAAACCAGGTCTAAACCAGGTCTAAACCAGGACTAAACCAGGACTAAACCAGGTCTAAACCAGGTCTAAACCAGGACTAAACCAGGTCTAAACCAGGTCTAAACCAGGTCTAAACCAGGACTAAACCAGGACTAAACCAGGACTAAACCAGGTCTAAACCAGGTCTAAACCAGGACTAAACCAGGACTAAACCAGGTCCAAAACCAGGTTCTATATGAAGGTTCTCTACTATCAGGACTGACCTGGTACTAAACCAGGGTCTAAACCAGGACTAAATGAGGTTCTGTACAAGGTCTATACCAAGTCTAAACCAGGGTCCAAACCAGGTTCTAAACCAGAGACTAAACCAGGACTAAACCAGGACTAAACCAGGTCTAAACCAGGACTAAACCAGGACTAAACAAAGACGACATGATACATGTTAAAAAAAAACGAAATAAAAAAAAACTAACATCTGGACCATGAGGTGGTGTTGTGGGTTCTGGTCTGGACCTGGTCTGGACCTGGTGTGGACCTGGTGTGGACCTGGTCCGTGGGGTCAGACTCTGAACCTGCTCTGACTTCACGTTTACAGGATTTACAAAACACAAAGTTTCACCCAGAAAAACGTAAAATCAAACTAAACCAGGTCTAAACCAGGACTAAACCAGGACTAAACCAGGACTAAACCAGGACTAAACCAGGTCTAAACCAGGTCTAAACCAGGACTAAACCAGGTCTAAACCAGGACTAAACCAGGACTAAACCAGGACTAAACCAGGACTAAACCAGGTCTAAACCAGGACTAAACCAGGACTAAACCAGGACTAAATGAGGTTAAAATGTCTGAATAAACGGAAAAAAACGGAAGTGTCCAGGTACAAACGGGTCCTAAACAAGTTCTTAAAAAAGGCAAAAACCAGGTCCAAATGTGTCAAAAATCTGAACCAACCCGGGACTAAACCAAACCAGAACCAGGTCTGTGTTGGGTCCAAAGTAGAACTAAACCAGGTCTAAACCGGGACTAAACCAGGTCCGAAACACGAACTAAACCGCGAGCAGACCCGGACTAAACCCGGACTAAACCCGGACTAAACCCGGACTAAACCCGGACTAAACCCGGACTAAACCCAGGTCCGGATAAAGTCCAGACCAGACCCGGTTCTGTTCCCGGTGAACTTTACCTGCTCACACCTCCGGCTCCGGCCGCGGTCTCACTTCTGTCAGCCCGGTTCGGACCTGTGCTCCCCGGGTCCGGTGCCCCGGGTCCCGCTGGCTCCTCGGGCTGAGCTCCGGCTGCCTCCCCCCGGGGCTCCTCCTCACTGACGCCGCCTCACCCCTTCCTCTCCCCGGGAAACGGGAACCAGCGGCTCCCCCGGCTCCCCCCCGGCTCTCCCCGGCTCCTCACACAGCCGAACCCCGGAGCTCGGGACGCGGACTCGGGCTGAGGGCAGAGCGGGCGGACATGTCTCCTGAGGCGGCTGTGAAAGGCTCGTGTGTCCGGTGGAAGTGCGGCGGTCCCGGGCTTCTGTCCGGCTCTTCTCCCGCGGAACGTGCTGCCCGCTCGGCGTCCTGACAGACAATACTCCCGGAGCCAAACTCCCCTCTCCAAAATGGCGCAAATAAAAGCGGCGGAAGCAGTCACGGCGCGAGGCGCGCTCTAGAGGGAAAAACCGTCATACGTCAAACGCGGCCGCCATCTTGGGACGGTCAGCTCGTTCTAACGGTTCAGGGAAAAGAAAAACGTTTATTTAAGAATGTTTTTATTATACACAGATTTTAAGGAAACCACACGTCCCTGTTTCCCCGGGACAGTTCCAGGTTTGAGCCTGTGTCCCCTGTCCCAGCAGATTGACACAAAACCACGGATTTGTCCCAGTTTTACACAAGAAATGTCCCAGTGTCTCTGTTTTGACCAATCTGATCTGTCATTATTAATATGTCATTATTATTAACATTATGTAAATGATTCAGACATTTTAATGATATATCGTACTAGTCCACACTTGATAAAACCTGAAGAACTTGATAAAGATAAATAATACAGTCAATATTGAGATTTAAACGAGTAAAACTGTTCAAATCAAACAGGGGTAACGTAAAACCGAACACATCTGATGTCAAAAAGTTTAACAGTTTATTTTTAGTCTTAAGTATGAACTAAACTCACGTTGTTTTACTACAGTTTACTATATAATGTGTATTTTAGAAAACATGACTAAATAAATAATGTTAATTTAGATTCAGTTTCTCTTGGTAAAACGCGTAAAACTCAAACCAGCTCCCGCCGTCTATTATATTTATGGCGGAAGTGACGTCAGCCTGATTTGCATCACAAATCCAGGCTCGTGCGTGAGCTCGTGCGCGGTCCCGGGTGAGACTCGTGATTGGTCAGTTTCTCACTTTTTCCAATTAAGTCTCAAACTTCAAAGAAACAAAAACGCGGAAAAATCCAGAACAAGAAACAAGCTCCTCACGATCTGACCTTTACAAACCCAAACCCCTGACCCCTGACCTCCGACCCCTGACCTCCGACCTCTGACCCCTGACCTCTCCAGTTGAACATATTTCTTCAGATCAGTTGCAGGTTCGATTCCGTCTGGACGCTGATCTCACTTCAACACTTCAGATCTTTGACTCTTCACACTTGGTTCTTCTTCTGTCCTGTGGTCAGTGTCGGGAGTAACAGATTACAAGTACCAGAGTAATCAGAGTACAAATGATGAGTAACTGTATTCAGTTACAGTTACTGTTTCAGTGAGTGGGAATTGGATTACAGTTACTTTGTTGAAATAAATGGATTACACAGAGAACTAAACCAGGACTAAACCAGGACTAAACCAGGACTAAACCAGGACTAAACCAGGACTAAACCAGGACTAAACCAGGACTAAATAAACCTGCTAAACCTGTGTGGACGTGTTTCTTCGTCTTTTATCAATAATATTTTTAATTTGGTTCAGTAAAGTTTGGACTTTTTATTTTCTTTTATCAGACAAAACTTCTTATGTGAAGATTTCCTCGTCTTTGTTTCTCTACAGCAAATCAAGTAATCCAAAGTAATCAGATTACATTACTCACTTTAAGTAATTTATTGGATTCTGTTACAAACTACATTTTGGTGTGAGTAATCTGTAATCTGTAGGGGATTACATTTGAAAAGTAACTTCCCAACTCTGTGGTGAAACTGTCTCCTGCTGCCAGAAGTGAGGCTCCGGTCTGGGTGAAGTGTCTTGCCTAAGGACACGAGGGCAGGTTCTGCGGTGGCGTCTCCATCAGGTCGTGACCAGACTCTGAGCTCTGACTGTTCCACACTGTGGCTTTAATTTGACCAGATGCCCTCCCAGAAGTGACTCCTGAACAAAACTGAAAGGATTTGTTCTGGAGTTAAAACTGAAGAATCCAGAAGATTTTAAACGAAACACGATTCAGTTTGATCAAAACTAAACACAAAAGGGTTTTTATGTTGTTGGAATGTGAAGCACAAATATTTTTATTTATTTTATTTAAACCTAAAAATAATCCTCATCCTCAGTCTTTTTTGGTCCTGCCCCCGACAGGTGAAACTACCCCCCGACAGGTGAAACCCCCCCCCCCCCACCACACACACACACACACACACCTGGGCAGGTGCTGTCCATGTGACTGAACACAAAAAATAAACTTTCAGGACTAAACCAGGACTAAACCAGGACTAAACCAGGACTAAACCAGGTCTAAACCAGGTCTAAACCAGGACTAAACCAGGTCTAAACCAGGACTAAACCAGGACTAAACCAGAACTAAACCAGCTAAACCAGGACTAAACCAGGTCTAAACCAGGTCTAAACCAGGACTAAACCAGGACTAAACCAGGACTAAACCAGGACTAAACCAGGACTAAACCAGGTCTAAACCAGGTCTAAACCAGGACTAAACCAGGACTAAACCAGGTCTAAACCAGGTCTAAACCAGACTAAACCAGGACTAAAACCAGGACTAAACCAGGACTAAACCAGGTCTAAACCAGATCTAAACCAGGACTAAACCAGGTCTAAACCAGGTCTAAACCAGGACTAAACCAGGACTAAACCAGGTCTAAACCAGGACTAAACCAGGAACTAAACCAGGACTAAACCAGGACTAAACCAGGACTAAACCAGGTCTAAACCAGATCTAAACCAGGACTAAACCAGGACTAAACCAGGACTAAACCAGGTCTAAACCAGATCTAAACCAGGACTAAACCAGGACTAAACCAGTAGTAAACCAGGACTAAACCAGGACTAAACCAGGACTAAACCAGTCTAAACCAGGTCTAAACCAGATCTAAACCAGGACTAAACCAGGTCTAAACCAGGACTAAACCAGGACTAAACCAGGACTAAACCAGGACTAAACCAGGTCTAAACCAGGTCTAAACCAGATCTAAACCAGGACTAAACCAGGTCTAAACCAGGACTAAACCAGGTCTAAACCAGATCTAAACCAGGACTAAACCAGGTCTAAACCAGGTCTTGGTCTCTGCGCCTGCAGAGACGTCGACACTGAAAAAAGTTTGAACAAATCTTCTGGGTTTTTTCTCTTTGTGTTTTTCCAGCGGCGCCACAGAAAAAAGAAGCGGATCTTTCACTGCGTCAGGGTCTGCACCTGCCCCTGCACCTGCCCCTGCACCTGCCCCTGCAGGTCACGTGCAGGTCGGACAGGTCGTGACAGGTGCGGGGGTCACGTGACAGGTGCGGGGGTCACGTGACAGGTGCGGGGTCACGTCGTGGCGAACAGGGTGAGCAGCCCCTTCGCAAACGACACGATCTCATTTCCTCCGAGTTTTGATTCTCCGTAAACTCTGTCCACAAACGAGATCGGCACCTGACCACAGGAAAGAGTCAAAACAACAGGTCACAGGTCGTTCTGGCGTGTGGGGGGGGGTCAGGTCTTCTGGCGTGTGGGGGTCACAGGTCGTTCTGGCGTGTGGGGGGGTCACAGGTCGTTCTGGCGTGTGTGGGGGGGGGTCACAGGTCGTTCTGGCGTGTGGGGGGTCAGGTCGTTCTGGGGGGGGGGGGGCACAGGTCGTTCTGGCGTGTGGGGGGGTCACAGGTCGTTCTGGCGTGCGGGGGGGGGTCACAGGTCGTTCTGGCGTGTGGGGGGGTCACAGGTCGTTCTGGCGTGTGGGGGGGGTCACAGGTCGTTCTGGCGTGTGTGGGGGGGGTCACAGGTCGTTCTGGCGTGTGTGTGGGGGGGGGGGTCACAGGTCGTTCTGGCGTGTGTGGGGGGGGGGGGTCACAGGTCGTTCTGGCGTGTGTGTCGGGGGGTCACAGGTCGTTCTGGCGTGTGGGGGGGGGGTCACAGGTCGTTCTGGCGTGCGGGGGGGGGGTCACAGGTCGTTCTGGCGTGCGGGGGGGGGTCACAGGTCGTTCTGGCGTGTGTGGGGGGGTCACAGGTCGTTCTGGCGTGTGGGGGGGGGTCACAGGTCGTTTCTGGCGTGCGGGGGGGGGTCACAGGTCGTTTCTGGCGTGTGGGGGGGTCACAGGTCGTTCTGGCGTGCGGTGGGGGGGGGGGTCACAGGTCGTTCTGGCGTGCGGGGGGGGTCACAGGTCGTTCTGGCGTGCGGGGGGGGGGGGTCACAGGTCGTTCTGGCGTGCGTGGGGGGGGGGTCACAGGTCGTTCTGGCGTGCGGGGGGGGTCACAGGTCGTTCTCTGGCGTGCGGTGGGGGGGGGGGGGGTCACAGGTCGTTCTGGCGTGCGGGGGGGGTCACAGGTCGTTCTGGCGTGCGGGGGGGGGTCACAGGTCGTACCTCTCCTATGGTGTAGTGCAGCTGTCTCGCCCTGACGATCATCTCCATCTGAAACACGTAGCCTTTAGAAACACAACGTTCCACCAGCTTCTCCAGGACCTGCTTCTTATACAACCTGAAACACACCACACAAACATGAGACGAGAACAAAACACGACCAGAACCTCGTCCAAACTCAAACTAGAAACTCGCTCCTCGTCTTCCTCACGTCTGGATCCTGAAACACTCCCAGAAACTGAACTGAACAGAACCTTTAGAACATTTAGAACCTTTAGAATGTTTCCTGAATGTGTTTAGAACAAACTGGAACTGGAACAGAACAAGTATAAAACACAGAGACTAGAACACACACACGGACCTGGTTTAGTCCTGGTTTAGACCCGGTTTAGTCCTGGTTTAGACCCGGTTTAGACCTGGTTTAGTCCTGGTTTAGTCCTGGTTTAGACCTGGTTTAGACCTGGTTTAGTCGGTTTAGACCTGGTTTAGTCCTGTTTAGACCCGGTTTAGACCTGGTTTAGTCCTGGTTTAGACCTGGTTTAGACCTGGTTTAGTCCTGGTTTAGTCCTGGACAGACATAATGACACAAGGGAGTAGAACATTTATTTATTTATTGATTTATTGATTTATTAGTTTATTCTTTATTTCAGACATAAATATTTTTGGCTCCACAGTTTAAAAAAAACCTGGATACAAAAAATCTCCAAGGCCCAAAACGAGTCGATAAAGTTCATGAAAGTGTGGATGTTTCAGTGTGGATGTTTCAGTGTGGATGTTTCAGTGTGGATGTTTCAGTGTGGATGTTTCAGTGTGGATGTTTCAGTGTGGAGTGTTTCAGTGTGGATGTTTCAGTGTGGATGTTTCAGTGTGGATGTTTCAGTGTGGAGTGTTTCAGTGTGGATGTTTCAGTGTGGATGTTTCAGTGTGGATGTTTCAGTGTGGAGTGTTTCAGTGTGGATGTTTCAGTGTTGATGTTTCAGTGTGGATGTTTCAGTGTGATGTTTCAGTGTTGATGTTTCAGTGTGGATGTTTCAGTGTGGATGTTTCAGTGTGGATGTTTCAGTGTGGATATTTCAGTGTGGATGTTTCAGTGTGGATGTTTCAGTGTGGAGTTTGTTTCCTCTGAGGTGAAACGGCAGGAGCTCGTGTGAGGATCGAGTGTTTGACGGAGTTTTGAGTTTTCAGACGCTTCAGACGCTGCATAAATGTGAACAGTAAAGGCTCCTCAGAAGAAAAACAACAGAGAAAGACAGAAAAGAAAGTTGTACCATTTCATGTGGAAAAATCACATTTGATTGACTGAAAAAAAGGTTTTATTCTCATCGTGGGATCAGAATCGGTATCGAGTATCGAATCTGTTCATTAGAATTGAAAGAGTTTGACATTTTCGTCTCGTGACAAAACAAATAAACACAAAATATAAAGAACAAACATGTTGTTGTAATCCCTCATTTGTCCACAAGAGGTCCTCAGTGTTAAAGGTTTCACAGCAGATCAGTGTTTTAGTTTGTGATAAATATTAAAGTAGATTTGACTTTACAGACTTTTGTCACAATATTCAAATTTAAAACTGGACTTTGATACTAAGATGATCTGATTCCACAAAGAAAATAAAACCTTTTTTTAGACAATACTCAGTGATTTTCCACAGTAAAGGTCCATTAACCTTCCTGACGCTTTACTCCGCCCCTAAACAAAATCTGGAGTGATGATTGACAGCTGACCGACATCCACAATAATCCAACACGACGGGACCGGTGCGTCCGGACTCAAACAGAGCGGACGTTTGTGCTCGGATCACGGCGTTTCCCGTTTCTCTGGACACGGCGGGACAAGGCGGTGCCCGGTCGGTGCTCCTCATGTCCTGCCCGTCGACGCCAGAGTCGGAGCTCGTCATGTGACGTTAGTCGACCTAAACCCGACCTAAACCCCGACCTAAACCCCGACCCAAACCCCGACCTAAACCCCGACCTAAACCCCGACCTAAACCCCGACCTAAACCCCGACCCAAACCCCGACCCAAACCCGTGAGTCCAACCCCAAAACTCAAATGTCCTGTTGATCCTGAAGACGCTGATACAAACACGACTCTGACCCAAACGTTTTAACAAATCTGCACCAAAATGATAAAATAAAACCAGAGACAGAGACACGTCTGTTTTACATTTACACAGAATCAGGAGGAAAAAGTGACTCTGGTGTTTAGTGAAATCATAGAACTTTCTTTTCCAGTCCCATGTGTCCTTAAATCTGTGTGATCTCTCAGCGGTCCAGGTCTAAACCGGTTCTAATCCGGGTCTAAACCGGGTCTAAACCAGATCCGTGTGTGTTCTAGTCTTTGTGTCTTAGACTTGTTCTGGTCCAGTTCCAGGTCGTTCTAAAAACAGTCAGGAAACGTTCTGCTCTGTCCTGTCTGTGGGACTGTTCCAGTGAAAATGAGTTTTAGTCTCACCCGTCTCACCCGTCTCACCCGTCTCACCCGTCTCACCTGTCTCACCCGTCTCACCCGTCTCACCCGTCTCACCTGTCTCACCTGTCTCACCCGTCTCACCTGTCTCACCCGTCTCACCCGTCTCACCCGTCTCACCTGTCTCACCCGTCTCACCCGTCTCACCTGTTTCACCCGTCACCCGTCTCACCCGTCTCACCCGTCTCACCCGTCTCACCCGTCTCACCGTCTCACCCGTCTCACCCGTCTCACCCGTCTCACCCGTCTCACCTGTCTCACCCGTCTCACCCGTCTCACCCGTCTCACCCGTCTCACCTGTCTCACCTGTCTCACCTGTCTCACCCGTCTCACCCGTCTCACTCACCTGAAGCTGCCCGTCAGGTCCGAGGCTCCGGGTCTCAACAAAACCTGCGTCAGGAAGTTTGCTCCTCGACTGAAAGAGACAGAGGGACACTTTACTGATGGACGGGCGATATATCGGCTCCAGAGTCGATATCGGCCGATATTTGTCGATATCAGAGCGTCAGATTTGAACAGAAACAGAGGAGCGTTCTGCGTCTGTTACAGAATCATACAACAAAGATCTGAGGGTTGGTTTCTTACACTTTACACCTTATAATAAAAATAATCGATTGAATTTCGATAAATAATTGAATTTCAGTTTGGATATTTTGTGTCGTACCTGATCAGTTTCCTCCTCAGGTCCCAGCCGTAAACTCCTCCGTTTCCTTTGTATCTGGTCCCAGAGACCAGGTCCAAATCTCCCTCTTTCTGCAACCTGAAAAAAACCAAACAAACAAAAGAAAACTGAGGTGACGTTTGCTCCGAGAGAATTCTGAATGTTACACAAACTTACCTGATGAATTCTGGGATGAATTTAGGCTGAAAATAAAGAGAAACTTTTTAACAGAATGAATTCAGTAAATCACACAGCTTCAGGTTTGTCCCAGATGAACAAAAATGGAATTTTATTCACAAAAATAACTTGATTAAACCTGGATTATGTGCTGCATCTTAACTGTGAGATTTTAAAGTGTTTAAAGTGTCTGTTTGATCATAAATAAAGTCTTGAATTAAAGAAATTGTGAGTCCAGTTAAATCTTTCCTGTAATAAAGTCACTACAGAAACACACAGACATGTTCTGACGTCAGAGCAGGTACGTGTGAAGTCGCCCCCATCAAACACACAACTACACAAAAAACATGAACTGTGCAGTAAAAAGTTCAGTTTGTGTGATTCTGGTTCTTCAGATTTTCACAGTTTTATTTTGTGTCGATGAGTCAAAACAGCAGAAAATGAAACCAAACGTTTGTGTTTGTTTTGTGTGTGACTGTTTCATTTGTGTAAGTTTATTATTAAAATGATTCATGATTATTTTTGTGTAAATGATGTGACGTCATGTGACCTGAGGCTGTGGAAAAGTTTGTTTTTATGTAAAATATGAATCAAAAGAAATTAACTAAAGACTGATCCAGACTTTTCCACGACATCGGCCCAAAATAAAACGGTTCAAATCTGAAGAACCAGAGTCGCACAAACCAAACTAAAGCAAAACACAAACACAAACGAAACACAAACGAAACACAAACGAAACACAAACACAAACACAAACGAAACACAAACGACACACAAACACAAACGACACACACAACACACAACGAAACACACAAACAAACGACACAAACACAACAACACAACGAAACACAAACAAACACAAACACAAACGAAACACAAACGAAACACAAACGACACACAAACAAACACACAAACACAAACACAAATGAAACACAAACGAAACAAACAAACAAACAAACACAAACGACACAAACAAACGAAACACAAACGAAACACAAAACGAAACACAAACGACACAAACACAAACACACAACCAAACACAAACACAAACGACACACAAACACAACACAAACGACACAAACGAAACACAAACGAAACACAAACGACACAAACGAAACACAAACGACACACAAACACAAACGAAACACAAACGACACACAAACACAAACGAAACACAAACGACACACAAACACAAACGAAACACAAACGAAACACAAATGATGGAGTTTTACTGCAGGTTTGTGTTTGTGTTTGGGGCGACTTCACGCAGGTGAGTGGGCGGGGCTTACGTGGTGCGACAGGTCGGCGTCCATGATGAAGATGAAGTTTCCGGTGGCGTGTTTGATTCCGTGGATGTACGCCGTCCCTTTAAGAAGAACTCAGTCAGAAAGAGTTCAGAAATAACTGAACGTAATTAACCACAGTCAAAGAAAGACGAGTGCTGCTCCTCACGCTCGCTCTTCTCCTTCTGCTGCTGGTCTAGAGAAACTCTAAAGAACCCAAGAAACTCTAAAGAACCCAAAAGAACTCTAAAGAACCTAAAGAAACTCTAAAGAACCCAGAGAAACTCTAAAGAACCCAGAGAAACTCTAAAGAACCCAGAGAAACTCTAAAGAACCCAAAGAAACTCTAAAGAACCTAAAGAAACTCTAAAGAACCCAGAGAAACTCTAAAGAACCCAGAGAAACTCTAAAGAACCCAAAGAAACTCTAAAGAACCCAAAGAAACTCTAAAGAAACTCTAAAGAACCCAGAGAAACTCTAAAGAACCCAGAGAAACTCTAAAGAACCCAGAGAAACTCTAAAGAAACTCTAAAGAACCCAGAGAAACTCTAAAGAACCCAGAGAAACTCTAAAGAACCCAGAGAAACTCTAAAGAACCCAGAGAAACTCTAAAGAACCCAGAGAAACTCTAAAGAACCCAGAGAAACTCTAAAGAACCCAGAGAAACTCTAAAGAACCCAGAGAAACTCTAAAGAACCCAGAGAAACACTGAATGAATAAAAACACTTCTCTTCTGCGTCTGTAACTTTTCCATGTGAAGCTGAACTCACCCAGTCCCAGTTTTTTTGCTCGAGGACGAAGAAGCTGCATAAAAAAAAAAGTTTAAGTTTAAAAAAACATTTACTGATAAAAAACACAACATGTATTTTTATTAATTTATGATTTCTAACACAAGAAAACAAACTTTAAACGAGTGCGAGCGATAAAAACTAATAATGATTCAAAACATTTAATATCAAGAATAATAAAAATAAAAATAGAAATAATCAATAATATTTAAATCTTTTCCAAATCTGAAAAAAGTTTGTCAAGATCATAAATTACAATATTTTTTCTTTCTGTGGTGTAATACGTTTATAAGATGATTGATTTAAAGCTGCACTGTGTAACTTTCTGGTTGAGGATCTGTCACCTGTTTGTTTCCATGGAGACGTCACTGCGCTGCCTGGAATGTTCCGCAGTGTGACTTTAAACAGCTCCACTTTTACTACATTTATTCAGCAACAGGAGGATTCAGAGTCAGAAATAGAGTCGCCTCTCCACAGATCTGACCTGTAACCCCCGTCTGGTTTGGTTTCCGTGGAGACAGAAAGGTTTAATGTCGTACTGTGGATCATTCCGGACAAAGCGATAACGTCTCCATGGAGAAAAGCGTCTGACAGAGCCTCCGGCAGAAAAGTTCCACAGTGCAGCTTTAACGCCGGCGTTACAGAACATCGTGGTCGTGTCTGGTGTGGTTCACTCACGATCTTGTCTTCTCCGTAGATGTTCTGCAGCTGCTGGGCCACGTCCAGCGTCCCGTCCGGGCTCCCGTCGTCGATCACGATGATCTCGTACTCGTACCCGCTGAGGAGAAAAACCCAGAGAGGAGCTTTAATCCTCAGACATAAAGGCAGCTTCAGTACATGTGTCCTCACCAGGAGTTTTTTTACTTAATGTTGTTTTAATATCTGCCCCTTTTGCCCCTCGTGAAGAGTTTTTACCCTCGTGAAGAGTTTTTACCCTCGTGAGAGTTTTTACCCGTGAGAGTTTTTACCCTCGTGAAGATTTTTTACCCTCGTGAAGAGTTTTTACCCTCGTGAAGAGTTTTTACCCTCGTGAAGAGTTTTTACCCTCGTGAAGAGTTTTTACCCTCGTTTTTTACCCTCGTGTCCTTTTTTCACTACAACCAGTTTTTTTCACAATCTGCTGCTCGACTCGTGTCATGTGACTGGAATCAAAAACTGCAGGACCAGAAACTCCATCTCCATCCTCCATGTTCCTCCATGTTCCTCCATGTTCTTCCATGTTTCCATGTTCCATGTTCTTCCATGTTCCTCCATGTTCCTCCATGTTCCTCCATGTTCCTTTCCATGTTCCTCCATGTTCTCCATGTTCTTCCATGTTCCTCCATGTTCCTCCATGTTCCTCCATGTTCTCCATGTTCCATGTTCCTCCATGTTCCTCCATGTTCCTCCATGTTCTTCCATGTTCCTCCATGTTCCTCCATGTTCCTCCATGTTCCTCCATGTTCCTCCATGTTCCTCCATGTTCCTTCCATGTTCTTCCATGTTCCTCCATGTTCTCCATGTTCTCCATGTTCTCTCCATGTTCCTCCATGTTCCTCCATGTTCCTCCATGTTCCTCCATGTTCTTCCATGTTCCTCCATGTTCCTCCATGTTCTTCCATGTTCCTCCATGTTCCTCCATGTTCCTCCCATGTTCCATGTTCTCCATGTTCCTCCATGTTCTCCATGTTCCTCCATGTTCCTGTTCCTGTTCCATGTTCCTCCATGTTCCATGTTCCATGTTCCTCCATGTTCTCATGTTCCTCCATGTTCTCCATGTTCCATGTTCCTCATGTTCATCCCTCCATGTTCCTCCATGTTCCTCCATGTTCCTCCATGTTCCATGTTCCTCCATGTTCCTCCTGTTCCATGTTCCTCCATGTTCCTCCATGTTCCATGTTCCCATGTTCCTCCATGTTCCTCCATGTTCTTCCATGTTCCTCCATGTTCTCCATGTTCCATGTTCCTTCCATGTTCCTCCATGTTCTCCATCCATGTTCTCCATGTCCTCCATGTTCTTCCATGTTCTCATGTTCCTCCATGTTCTTCCATGTTCCTCCATGTTCCTCCATGTTCCTCCATGTTCCTCCATGTTCCATGTTCCTCCATGTTCCTCCATGCTCCTCCATGTTCTCCATGTTCCTCCATGTTCCTCCATGTTCCTCCATGTTCCTCCATGTTCCTGTTCCTCCATGTTCTCCATGTTCCTCCATGTTCTTCATGTTCCTCCATGTTCCTCCATGTTCCTCCATGTTCCATGTTCCTCCATGTTCCTCCATGTTCTTCCATGTTCCTCCATGTTCTCCATGTTCCTCCATGTTCTTCATGTTCCTCCATGTTCTCCATCCATGTTCCATCCTCCATGTTCTTCATGCTCCATGTGTTCTCCATCCTCCATGTTCCTCCATGTTCCTCCATGTTCCTCCATGTTCCTCCATCCCATGTTCCATGTTCCTCCATGTTCCTCCATGTTCTTCCATGTTCCTCCATGTTCCTCCATGTTCCTCCATGTTCTTCCATGTTCCTCCATGTTCCTCCATGTTCTTCCATGTTCCTCCATGTTCCTCCATGTTCCTCCATGTTCCTCCATGTTCCTCCATGTCCTCCATGTCCTCCATGTTCCTCCATGCTCCTCCATGTTCTCCTCCATGCTCCTCCATGTTCCTCCATCTTCTTCTTCTTTTCTGGGGTCGGGTCTCAGGGGCATCAGTCTGAGCTCCCAGACTTCCCTCACCCCAGACACTTCCTCCAGCTCCTCCAGTGTGTCCTGGGTCTTCCCCGGGGCCTCCTCCCGGTGGGACATGTCCAGTGTTGGGGAGTAACAGATTACATGTACCAGAGTAATCAGAGTACAAATGATGAGTAACTGTATTCAGTTACAGTTACTGTTTCAGTGAGTGGTAATTGGATTACAGTTACTTTGTTGAAATAAATGGATTACACAGAGAACTAAACCAGGACTAAACCAGGACTAAAACCAGGACTAAACCAGGACTAAACAGGACTAAACCCAGGTCTAAACCAGGACTAAAACCAGGACTAAAACCAGGACTAAAACCAGGACTAAAACCAGGTCTAAAACCAGGTCTAAACCAGGACTAAACCAGGACTAAACCAGGACTAAAACCAGGTCTAAACCAGGACAAAACCAGGACTAAAATCAGGTCTAAACCAGGACTAAACCAGGACTAAAACCAGGTCTAAAACCAGGTCTAAACCAGGACTAAACCAGGACTAAACCAGGACTAAACCAGGACTAAATCCTGCTGTGTGGACGTGTTTCTTCGTTTTCTATCAATAATATTTTTAATTTGGTTCAGTAAAGTTTGGACTTTTTATTTTCTTTTATCAGACAAAACTTCTTATGTGAAGATTTCCTCGTCTTTGTTTCTCTACAACAAATCAAGTAATCCAAAGTAATCAGATTACATTACTCACTTTAAGTAATTTAATGGATTCTGTTACAAACTACATTTTGGTGTGTGTAATCTGTAATCTGTAGGGGATTACATTTGAAAAGTAACTTCCCAACACTGGACATGAACACCTCCTGAGGGACACGTCCAGGAGACATCAGAACAGACGTCCTCCCCTCAGACGCTCCTCTCCACGTGGAGGAGCAGCAGCTCTACTCCGAGCTCCTCCCCTCAGACGCTCCTCTCCTTGTCAAGGAGCAGCAAAAAACAAAACCCTCTTTCATACAAAACACACACATGTATAAACAAGTTTTTGGACATAAAAATGCTTAATTTCGGGCCTTAGTTACACTTCACTTTGCACGTCTTGTACAAAGTTCATCTGAAACACAAACACTTAAAGGTTGTATAGAGGATTTTTTTAAGGTAAGTGAAATACAGCGACAGTCCTTTTTCAAATGTTGTTCATGTGTGACACCACCTTCCTCCTCCACAGCCTCAGTAGAAACATCTCCTCCTCCCGCCTCTTTACTCTAGAAATCACGCTCGTTTACAGCCTGTGCGCGTGCAGAATTACTGTCGAAGTGACCTGCCTAGAAATAATTTAGCGTCAGTTTTTAGACTCTTCGTCTGCTTCATTCGCGCAATCGCTGGACGAGATCTCCAAGAATCACCTCAGTTTGGCTTTGCTCCTTTTCTCCTTCTCTTCTTCTTTCAGCGACCTCAAAAACCGACTTTCTTTTGCGGCGAACTGATCGTGGATTCTCGTCCGCTGTCGCAACAAAGTTTGTGCGAACTGCGAGGAAGCAACAGTTTAAAAACGCCTCCAAGAACCGCTGCATAAACCGAGTCAGTTACACTAGAAATGTAGGGAGTTTGATTGACGACCTAACAGCCAATAGAAAATGAGGCAGCCTTGTTTTCTATTGATGTTTATCTGGCCTCAACACGTCCACAGTTGATCGATTTTCATTCACTTTTTTTTTTTGGTCATTACAATTCCAAGGCTGCTGCCTGTCTGTGATGGTGTTTTAAACTTTCACTGACAATTTCAAACTAAAAAATATCCTCCATACAATCTTTAAATCGTCAAAACAGTGAAAATGTCAAATGTGTCGAATAAACGAGTTTCTTCCTCTGAACAAAACAACAAAACTGGAGTTGGAACTAAATCATTGAGTCAAATAAACCAAAAAATCCTCTAGGTGAAATATCGATACAACACAACACGATATCGATACTGAATCATCACATTAAACCAAACGATATATTAATATTTCAATATTTTTGCACAGTTCTAGTCTTTATAAACTCCCTCAGATCAGGACGGATCATTTTCCTGAATCACAAGAAGAAAATCCACAGAAAAGTAAAGACTTTAACTGCAACTTCTCTCACTTTTACTCTTTCTTTACACATTTTAATCAAGTTTTAGTTTAGACTATTTTATATTCCTCATTTAGACGTGATTTGAGAATAGTCTTGATTGAAAAACCAGAGTTAATCAGATTAAACTCGTGTTAAAGTTGGAGTTTGAGTGACAGCTCATCACAGCGTTAGCACCGTTAGCCGCGTTAGCCGCGTTAGCTCTGAGCTCCAGCTTCATGTTAAACTCACCTTTCCCCGAAGTATTTGACCAGGAGCCACACGATCAGAGGCAGGTTCTCCCGCTCGTTGTACGTGGGTAAAAGCACCGAGTATTTGTCCGCGCTGCGGCCGCTCGGAGGACGCGGTTTACGGCTCGACATGACGACAAGCACCGGAGGCTAAAGCTAACAGCGCCGAGCTGGAACTTCCGGCTACAGAATGTAAACATCCGGCTCAGGCTTTTCACAATAAAGTGTCGAATGGACCAGATCGATAACGCACGCGGAACAGAAAACTAGAGTCAAACCAATACAAAAATAATAAAATAATAAAATATAATATTAATAATAACATAAAATAATAGTAATAATATAGTAATAATTACTTAAAGGGATAGTTCAGGTTTTTTGACATGAATCTGTGTGTCGTCCCCGTCAGCAGTGTCACATCCACACTGACTTCACCTCCGACAGCGTCCGGTGAATCGAGATACTGGCCGGTTTTGGTGCTGAGGAAAGTAGTTCGGCAGGTTGTCTGGGGACAGTCTAATAAAGCGTTTTTCTTCTCAAAACAATCTGTGTTAAAAAGAGTGACACATTTGCACCACAAAACCTCCGTCCTCTAAAAAGTCAGACCTCATTATCACTTGGCGCTATTTTCTCTCCGTACGTATCACTGCGCACGGCCGCCCAGTGACAGCTGCGGAGCAATCATTTTGTTCAGTTGTTCTGCAGTATTTACTTGTTCAGACCGGTGACGCCGCGATGCGAGGGGGTTAATGTCAGAGCTGGAGTGACAGGTGTATAAGCTTGTATAAGATACATAACTATATATCTAAAAAATGGTGCGAACTTGCGATTTTCCGGGCTGTAACAACAAAAATCTGTGTGAATCTCTGCACAAATTTCACTGTTTTCCTGTAACGGACGTATATTCGGGTTCAAAAAGATCTCCCATTGGCTCTGTGCTAAAATCAATTTCTTCATCATCGGTTTCGTAATCAGACATGTTGTCGCTCACATTCCGAGCAGTAAACAAAGTGAAACAGGTGCGGCTGTCACCGGGCGGCCGCGCGCAGTGATACGAACGGAGAGAAAATAGCGCCAAGTGATTATGAGGTGTGACTTTTTAGAGGACGGAGGTTTTGTGGTGCAAATGTGTCACTCTTTTTAACACAGATTGTTTTGAGAAGAAAAACGCTTTATTAGACTGTCCCCAGACAACCTGCCGAACTACTTTCCTCAGCACCAAAACCGGTCAGTATCTCGATTCACCGGACGCTGTCGGAGGTAAAGTCAGTGTGGATGCACCGCACTGCTGACGGGGACGACACACAGATGTCAAAAAACTTGAACTATCCCTTTAAAATAATACTATTAATTTTATTTTTGTTACTTATTTTTGAATTTTAGTACAATTTTTTTTTTTTGCTATTTGTTTTTATATGATCATGTGATAATGGAAGTGGCTCAAGAAGCTGCTTCAAATCTAAGTCTAAAAACATGATGTCGTTATAAATACACACGACACATCGCATTTTCTAATGTGTGTTTTTTTATTATTATTATTATTATTTTAATTAACCAGTGTTTCTAAAATATATAAAAATACTCTTACAAAATGCAAAGGTAAAAACACATTTCTTTCACATAAAAGTGGTTTCCCAAAAGCCCATAAGTGTAATAACTCTGTAAACATGTGTTTTCATAAGAGGTAAAATATGAAGGAAATCAGAATAAACAGATATTTTACACAGGAAACGATCTTCGTCACCGTCTCTGTTAAACCTTTGGACATTTTGAGGCAGTTAAGGTTATAATAAAATACATATATTTCTGTAAAACAAAGATATTAGGCTTTAATACAGTGCACTACAGGAATAACCCAATAAACACAAACACAGGATTTAACATTAGAACAGATTTCAGTGCGATTGAGACACGTGTATAAATACTTGGATCATTTAAAGAGTATTTTATTTTAAAGCTTCATATTCTGCTTCGTTCGTTTTCTTTCAACACTTTTGGACAGATTTAGAGATGAATTTAAAGCTGCACCGTGTCACTTTTCTGGTGGAGATGTTGTTGCTTCGTCTGGAATGTTCCACAGTACGGCATTAAACCTTTCTATCTCCATGGAAACCAAACCAGACGCTGTTCCAGGTCAGATCTGTGGAGAGGCGACTCCGCTCACAGTCACTATGTTTGTTTTTCGAGGTGTTTTTGAGCTGTAAATCCTCCTGTGATGGAATAAATGTAAAGTGGAGCTGTTTAAAGTCACACTGCGGAACATTCCAGACAGAGCAGTAACGTCTCCATAGAAACAAACAGGTGACAGACCCACAACCAGAAAGTTACACAGTGCAGCTTTAAAATAATGTCCAGTATGTTTGTGAAGAGACTCTGTGGTGGCTCTGCTGCCCTCTGCTGGTCACTGTGGGACTGACACAGACTCTGAGGTTTAATCTGAAATGATCCAAACGATTCCACAAACTCTGATGAGGACGAACCAGAGTCCGACTCGGAGACACAGAACCCCGAGCAGCAGACCTCAGACTGGAACAGAGTTTGTTTGTGGTGCAGATAAACAGAAGATTTTTGTTAAAAGTGGAAAATGAAAGCTTTAATAAAACACTGTCAGATGTTTAAAGTCCTTCTGTGGCGTCTGGATCAGGGACGTTTGTGCAACAACAGCCCCGAAAACAGTCCGAAAATACAACGTCACCAGATCTCCTCTTCTTTCCTTCTCTCCTCCTCTTCCTCTTTTTCTTCTCTCACTCTTCACTTCTTCCTCAGGGTCAGTACCCATAGTAACCATCTTCTAAGGAAAAAAAAAACACATAAGCACAATTTAATATTTCATTTTTCCTGCAAAACATTTAAAGATTAAACATGAGCCGGTGGAGTGTCGCTCTCTCAGTGTTTGTCTCATTCTTTGTTTTTTTTATCCAAAATCTCCTGGTCGTTTGTGTCACAGACGACGTGCGCTGGGCCCCGGTCGTCCTCACAAACAGAAGCTCTGTGGGTTTTTAACTCGCGCAAATAAAACTTCATATGTAAAAAAATAAAACTATCTCACAATATTTACCCAACCACAAAGTCTGAACCACAGAAACTGTGCTGAGGCGCTGCTCTGTGGAGGTCAGGGGCTCAAAACGCCTCTGACAGACGGGACTAAAAACACTGTTAAGATCATCTATCATCTGTTTAATCGTCCAGTTAAATCTGTGATGGTTACACTTCTACACACAATGTTTTCTCCAGATTCAGTCCAAATGTCAGAACCGTCAGACCCTGGTCCTGGGCCCTTTGAGGCCGTGGAGTCTGTGGTTCCTGTTTTTTTGTTTTTTTGTTGTTTTTTTTATCTTTTTTTTTCATGTGTCCAAAAGTTCAAACTGGTGTGTGTTTGGTGCAGGTGCGTCTCACCTGGTCTCTGGGGGCTGTGGGGGTTCGTCTGACAGCCCCCGCTGCCGTCACAGACGCCGGGGGGCCCCTGTTCTCCGGACTGACCCTGGGGCCCGGTCACTCCGTCGGGGCCCGACGCGCCCTCGTCCCCCTTCGGCCCCGGGGCCCCGAGCTTGGACTCCCCCGCGGGACCTGAGCCCAGAGGAGACACGAGTGAAAAGTGTGAGGGAAAGAAGCAGGGACCCGCCCGCTGTGGGGACAGAAGCGGGGACCCGCTCGCTGTGGGGACAGAAGCGGGGACCCGCTCGCTGTGGGGATGAGGGGCGTCACATTTACCTGCAAATCCTTTGATTCCTGGAGGGCCCTGGACATTGGGCCCCGGGTCGCCCTTTGGCCCCGGCAGACCCCTCCTCCCTGAGACACAGAGACAGAGACACTTAGAACAACATGAGATTTAACATGTCACAGTGTCCACGTTCACACTAGACATTTAACTCTGAATCTAAATCATTTCATTCTGAATCAAAGTGAATTTGTCTTTAAAAAGTTCATGTTCAAACACTAAATTCCTGTTTGTGTTTCCTGGGCTCAGTTTCAGTTCTGACCCACACACACGTTTCTCTGTCAAGTCGTGTCAGAGGTCGGAGGTCGGTGGTACTGACCCTGCTCGCCTGGGTACCCCGGCCGGCCCGGTCTGCCCCTGGACCCCGCGCTGCCCTGGGGCCCTCGGGACCCCGGGGGGCCCCTGCCTCCGGGGATGCCCGGTTCTCCCGGGGGCCCGACCGGCTCCTGCAGCGGGGCCGGTTTACGGCTCATGTCGTTTATGAACAGGTCCAACTTCAACACCTCCTCTGAGGGTCAGAAAACAAGAAGAAGAAGAGAGGGTCAGAAAAGTGTGTGAGAAAACACAGACAGAAGAGAGAGATTTGGTGATTTTAGTGATTTTGTGATTTTAGTGATTTGGTGATTTAGTAATTTAGCGATTTAGTGATTTTAATGATTTGGTGATTAAGGTCGTTTTCACACCACTAGTTCGATTATTTGGTCGCACCAGGCAATAAAATTGTTATTATGTAGCAGATCCACTCCAGTGTGTCGCGTTCACACCGGCAAACGAACCAAAACTGGTTCGATTCACGCGTCTCTGTTTCCCGGTAAAACAGCGATACTCCAGTTATCAACACCGATGTTCCTGTTAAAACCGCGGGTCGTCCTCATCTCAAATTATCACCATGAACTAAAACAGCAACATGTAGAACTTTGTACAAACTCACCGCATCAGCCCAGAGTTCGGGAAACAGCAGCAGCCAACAGCTCCTCAGGACGGGGCTGGGGTCTGGTCCTTGGTTCTTGGTCTGTTACAAGTTCGTTGGTCAGATGGTCCGGAGGCTCTGTCCTCCATGTGCTGGTTCCAAACGGTGGCGAGCAAGACCAGTGTTTGATGGACTGAGTCCGAGCAGGTACAGTCGTCTGCGCGCTTGTTCTGTGCGGGAAAAGCAAGAATGTTCTGTGGACCACAGGTCCGTGCTCTCCGGTTCTCCGCGCTCCAGAACCGCGGCTGGTTCCGAGGTGGTGCAGCATCCGGACAGAAGTGTGAGTCCAGTTTGGTTTGTTCTATGTTGTTCTGAGCGTCCGTCCTCTGTGCATTTGGTTCTTCCCGGGGAAAGTTCTTCCTCAGGTCGAGGCTCCCCGCTCCAGCTCCTCTGAGCCCGGACAGAACCGGAGCTGCTCCCGCTGGTTCTGGACTCTGGTTTGGATCTAGTCCGACTGTATTTCTCACACTAGGCTAAAAACAGGGACTTTTTAAGTTGTATCAGTTGAATGGGCGATTGCCTTATTGCCATGAAATTATTTGGTTAATTAAAGCCTAAAATAACAAATGTTGGTTGCTGTGTGATCACGGGGGACACCGGGTCGTCTCCTGAACAGGGGGACGCACCCCCAACTTTGACTCACTCTGGAGCCACACGTTCACACACTGGTTCTTGCTCTGATCTTCGTGTGTTTCATTCTCTGTATTGGCCATTGTTGGTAAAATAATTCAAAAATGAATCGCGTCTGCGTCTGGACAACAACCTGTTCCTGCTGGAGTCGTACAGCGTCACTTCAGGCAGAGGAGACGCGTTTCTCCCATGATGCATTTGGAATAGTCCGTTTGTCCAAACTGTCTATGGTTTGGACCCGGGTTCACGTTCACACCAGAGGAACCGCACCAAAGTTGGTCATTTGGTGGATTCAAGTGAACCGAGACCACCTCTTTTTTGCGGTCTCGGGGTGTTTTCACACCGACAGTATTTGTTGCACCAAACGGTCCATTCGAACCAAAAGTGGTTCGTTCGGTTCGTTTGCGTTGGTGTGAAAGCGTCAATCGGACTCGGACCCGAACCAAATCAAGCGACCGAGACCTAAAAAAGAGGTGGTCTCGGTTCACTTGAATCCACCAAATGACCAACTTTGGTGCGGTTCCTCTGGTGTGAACGTGAACCCGGGTCCAAACCATAGACAGTTATGGACAAACGGACTATTCCAAATGCATCATGGGAGAAACGCGTCTCCTCTGCCTGAAGTGACGCTGTACGACTCCAGCAGGAACAGGTTGTTGTCCAGACGCAGACGCGATTCATTTTCAAATTATTTTACCAACAATGGCCAAAACAGAGAATGAAACACACGAAGATCAGAGCAAGAACCAGTGTGTGAACGTGTGGCTCCAGAGTGAGTCAAAGTTGGGGGTGCGTCCCCCTGTTCAGGAGACGACCCGGTGTCCCCCGTGATCACACAGCAACCAACATTTGTTATTTTAGGCTTTAATTAACCAAATAATTTCATGGCAATAGGCAATCGCCCATTCAATTGATACAACTTCAAAAAGTCCCTGTTTTTAGCCTCGTGTGAGAAATACAGTCGGACTAGATCCAAACCAGAGTCCAGAACCAGCGGGAGCAGCTCCGGTTCTGTCCGGGCTCAGAGGAGCTGGAGCGGGGAGCCTCGACCTGAGGAAGAACTTTCCCCGGGAAAGAACCAAATGCACAGAGGACGGACGCTCAGAACAACATAGAACAAACCAAACTGGACTCACACTTCTGTCCGGATGCTGCACCACCTCGGAACCAGCCGCGGTTCTTGAGCGCGGAGAACCAGAGCAGCGCCCGGACCTGTGGTCCACAGAACATTCTTGCTTTTCCCGCACAGAACAAGCGTGCAGACGACTGTACCTGCTCGGACTCAGTCCATCAAGCACTGGTCTTGCTCGCCACCG